TATGTAGTGTTTCATTTTAAAAAATCTTACACATTATATTTGTTAAAAGGTCAGAGCCCATTCTTAGATCATTTCACAAGCTAGGTATTTTAGGGCAATGATTTCCAAGTCCATTTGACAAACGTGTTGTGGTTTGAGACTGACTTTTTACTGAGGGTATAGTTTACAGCACTTGGCCGTGGGGTTGATCCTCAGCACTGCAGAACTAAAACAGCATTAAAAACTCCACTGCTATTTATTTGTTTGTTTGTTTATTGACAAAGTCTCCTCTTATAGCCCAAGGTGGCTTCACACTCACTATGACACACAAGCTAGCCTTGAACCCACAATTCTCGTGCCTCAAGAGACTTGAGATTACAAATGTGTCGTTGTATTCAACTTGATTTTATTTATTTATGAGATCATATGAGACAACTTTATCAATCAGGTTTTCCTGATGGTACTCACAATGAATAGAGTAATTAAACTATTTTGTATCAGGCTTTTTTAATGCAAATTATTGAGCTAATAATTGAATTGGTTGAAATTTACCCAGTTTTATGAAGTAGACACTAGTTTATTGCTTTCTTGTATGCACAATTCTCAACCTAAAATTCAGACTTATATACATAAACAGCTGCTAAATAACATCTCAACATTAGCAACAGACAGAAAAAAGAAAAAGTTAGAGAAATTATTCTCTAATTGTAATATTGCTCGAGTTATTCCTTCCAAATTGTACATAAACTTTAGTAAGAGTGCAATAATCTAATAATCAATTCACCAAACATTTTTTGGAGTTCTCCTTCAAGTAAGTTATGGCAATAAATAACCCAACTACCCAGCACATATGAAAAGAACACCTTCTTTGATCAGTGCAAGCCTATGTGTAAAGCTAAAGTGATACCATGTTAATATAATTTGCATTAAAATCACTTGACCACTTAGATTGAGGAAACTGACTGCATATGAAAAAAGTTATAAAAGTGCATATTTTTAAAAGCTATGTGTAAGTCATTCCTATTAAGAATGTATAGAGACAGAACATTTAAAATTTGCTCCCTGCACAAAATAATAATTTTTTTCTTAAAATTCAAAGTATTCTTTTTTTCTATAACAGACATTTAATGACATTCTAAAACATGTGAAAGAAACAATTAAATGGAGATAACAAAGTTTTAAAGTTTCTATGGTAGCAAGATATACAAGTAAACTTGTTATTCAGAAACAAAAATTATATTTCAATATTGTCAGTTTTCCTATAGTATACATAACTTTACTCTAAACCATTATTACAGAAAAGTGTAGATATTTAGTTCAAGTTTATATTCCTAAGGTAAGAGAATTGTAATATAGTAGTTGTATTTTTACTTCTTGTTATATATACCATGTTATTTTCTGCTGTGAGTTAAAAACTAAGATTACAGCCTTCCTATTATATTAGGAGAAGTACATTGTCTGGTTTGAGTTGTTTTATATTTCTTGTTTGTGGAGGTGTTTTTTGTTTTTGTTTTTGTTTGTTTTTTTTTTGTTTTTTGCTTTGAAGGAATCATATTTGAAATTTACTATTATGATTTAGCCAAAGATAATATTTCTGATATTTACCATTTGTTCTCATGCTATACTAATAGTTGTACTATTAATAATTGTACTAATTAAAAACAAACTCATTGGTTAGACTTACTATCAGTAAGAAAGCAGAAAAGAATTTTCAGTCTAAAAGTATATGAATCATAGAAAATGATCAGTCAAGAGTCTTTTTGCCAATAGTTAAATTATAAGGATTTTTTTTATTTTGTAAAGAAGATATGAAAGGAGTACTGTGTATCAGAGAAAGTAATAAATATAGGAGTAAAATTAGCAAAAGAAATGTAAAATAATTTAAATAATCAATTAAAACCAAAAGCATTTAGGAAGACCAAAAACAAAAATGGGAACTAGATTCCAGAAATTGATAAAATTAGCAAAAATTTAAAATAAATTTCATTTTGTCTCCTTAGCATTTATTTATATACCTTTGCTGCACAAAACTTGTGCTGTTGACATGATTCTTTACTCCTTTCCAAGTAGAAAGATCATAATTGCAATATTAGAGCTACTTCTTCAACATGAGAATTTCACTAATCAAATTAGTTTACAACTATTTCAAACTAACCACAAGTGCAGCAAATGTCTCATTTCTAAAATAGCACTTATGTTCTTGATTAACCAGCAGAGAGTAATATTTTCAAGAACAGTTCAACTTGATGTAGAAATTCAGGAGCCATTGACAATCTATGTGCCACAGTAGGAAGACAAAACCTCCCTCTTGGTTCTGGCTAGAACTCTACTTCAAAGGGGGTCTGTCACAAGGTCTCTCCCCTCTTCCCCAGGCCCCTCTGGTTGAGCTTCATGACAACAGTAAATCCCAACTTCAGGGAAGGCTCTTTCTTCTGGTTTTATTTTAGGGTTTTGTTTGTTTATTTGTTTTGCCAAGGTTTTTGTTTCTAAGGTTAACAAACATATTAGAGATTTTCAATAAAAGTCAATTTTTTTTTAAAGGCCAGGAGAACTTATTGAATCTTTTTGTATTGCAAATTTTTCTTTATCTGCTATAGGCTATCTTAGTAACAATGTTGTGTGATGTGTGAAACTATAAAAATCTGAACTCTGGAAAAAAGTCAAGGTACCAAAAACCAAACACATCCTGTGTGTAAAGCAGTATTGTGCTTAAAAATGTGGAGCCAATCCCAGCAGCAGAATAAGAATGTCAAGTGTTGTGAGGAAAGGAAACGGGAAATGAGACTAGAGAGGAGAAGAGGAGGAATTATCTCTTTTCACTACTATATTCCCTCGAGAGTATTTGTCTCCGTTCTTTCCTTCCTTCCTTCCTTCCTTCCTTCCTTCCTTCCTTCCTTCCTTCCTTCCTTCCTTCCTTCCTTCTTTCCTTTCTCTTTCTTTCTTTCTTTCCACTGAGTGACAACATGAGGTCAGAGAATAAAAATAAAACATTCCTGAGAAATACATTTTCTGTGACAAAAATAATTAACAATCTTCTAACTATAAATTTCCATTCAGGATTTGGGAAGGAAATAATTGGATAAAACAAGTTTGATGGAAATTTTCAATAGAATACCAAACTATTTTGTCTTTAAAAATACATGTATACATTCTGCAGATTCTATTAACAAATTCATCTGCACACACACACACAAATAGCACTTGCTTTTTAAAGGTATGAAATGTCTAGAGTAAGACACAAATAACTGATACAAGAAAAAGTTGAATATTTCAAAATATGTTTTCTTTCAGAACCGCTCATGTCCAGGAAGGGAATTCTACTTGGCTTATGATGTTCCTAAGCAGGCAAAAAGTGAATTCTGGCAGAGACTCTGTTTGTTTTGTTTTTCAAGATGGGAAAGTTCCATGTTTGAGTGCACTGATAAACTAAGCAGCAAAATATATTATAATTACTTATAAAATCGCCACACTGAAGTTCTACAAATAAAATGTCACAAGATAAAATGTATAATTTGAAAACATAGTAGCATTCATTTGAAAAAACTACAACCACTTTTCCCAGCTTGGACAACTCATCAACACAAAGTTTATGATAATGTTTTCATTTTTTTAAATGTGTCTAAACTTGAAAAAGATAATGGTTTGCATGAGACCTTCATATTCAGATATTACAACAACTATATTTACTTACCTCATCTACCTCATCTTTGATTAAAGTTTAAGATTACTTCCTGTTGTTTTTGAGCTAATAAGTAGTATGCAATACAATATAAAGTAAAACAAAGTTTAAAACCCACATTTTAAAAGAATCCCAGCATTTGAGCAATATTTCTCTCTCTCTCTCTCTCTCTCTCTCTCTCTCTCTCTCTCTCTCTCTCTCTCTGGCTTCTTTGTATATCATTAGTTTATGAAATATAAGTAGCAGTTCCAGTTCAAGCTCAAGTGTCTCAACTTCTGGAAAGACCTATAAAAGTAGCATCATGTCAGACTGCAGCAATATCAGTCTCGTTAGGACAAATAACCGATGATTATAAACAACTGGTAGGACCTGGCATGTTGTCCCACAGTATGCCTTTAAAAATGTTAACCACTCCTCTGGTTGTCACTGTCTTTCCTTGAGTTATCATATGGTCTTTTTTCCCTATAAAGGGCAGATTCTTTGCAAAAAGTGTGCTGAAATGAACACAATTGTTGATTAAAATAATATGACAAAACCACCAAGAACATTCAAATCACAGGACTGAACCCAAGAAAAAGATAACGCTTAACTGTTCAGATCTTCAAGACATGGACATGTGCTGCCAGGTTAAACTTTGGTAGTTGTCCTTTTGTTATAGACACAATAAAATCTTGCTTAAGAAACATGTTTCTTTCTTCTACTCTGGCTTCCAGGAAAACTTTTTAAAAATGTGCCTTTGTTTTCTTCTTATCCTCATGTTTTCCAATTTTACCCATGCTTGCACACTTCTTTGTCCTTTTTCTCATTCAGCATCTGGTGTAAGTTCGTAAGTTAAGTTCTTTGTCATTCAGGCACATTTGTTAACCAAGAGATGACAATTTTTAAAAATCAGCTTACGGGGTTGCGTTTTTCAAGAGGAGCTGCCATCTTCACCTGCCCTCTGCATCCACATCCATTTTCAGAATCCTTAAACAGGTTATTTTTCCATTACCACCAAAAAGATCCGTTACAGACAAGTAAAAATACTTGAAATTTCTGAGTCTCTCTCTCTCTCTCTCTCTCTCTCTCTCTCTCTCTCTCTCTCTCTCTCTCTCTCTCTCTCT